TAATACTCCTCTAATTATGAACATGAATATGCTTTGTGAGTAGTTAAATTTGTTCCTGAGGACATGGGTGAAGTCTTGCTATTAGTAGTCATGTGAATTTGGTATTCGTTCGATATTTTGATGAGATGTGTGTTGTCTCTCCTCTAGTGGTGTTATGTGAACGTCGATTACATGACACTTCACCATTATTTGGGCCTAGAGGAAGGCATTGGGAAGTAATAAGTAGATGATGGGTTGCTAGAGTGATAGATGCTTAAACCCTAGTTTATGCGTTGCTTCGTAAGGGGCTGATTTGGATCCATATGTTTCATGCTATGGTTAGGTTTACCTTAATACTTCTTTTGTAGTTGTGGATGCTTGCAATAGGGGTTAATCATAAGTGGGATGCTTGTCCAAGTAAGGGCAGTACCCAAGCACCGGTCCACCCATATATCAAACTATCAAAGTACCGAACGCGAATCATATGAGCGTGATGAAACTAGCTTGACGATAATTCCCATGTGTCCTCGGGAGCGCTTTTCTCATTATAAGAAATTGTCCAGGCTTGTCCTTTGCTACAAAAAGGATTGGGCCACCTTGCTGCACCTTATTTACTTTCATTGCTTGTTACTCGTTACAAATTATCTTATCACAAAACTATCTGTTACCTACAATTTCAGTGCTTGCAGAGAATACCTTACTGAAAACCGCTTGTCATTTCCTTCTGCTCCTCGTTGGGTTCGACACTCTTACTTATCGAAAGGACTATGATAGATCCCCTATACTTGTGGGTCATCAATATGTCACTTTGGAAAGCCCTCGCCCAAGTGTTTGGCTCCAACTCTTTCAACCAGTTGTATGCACCCTCATTCAGCACCTTCATCTCAACCATGTATTGCTCATACTTAATAACTGTTGTGCTCCTAGCTATCTTCCACAATTGGTTCTTCAAAGCATCACCTTTGTACAGCTGTGGAAATTCTTCCACATATTCCTGACATAGATCCTATGTTCTGACTCAGGGAATACTTCAGTGACAGCATTTATCAGGCCCTACAAAACAATATACACCAATACAGAAAGTGTTAAACAAATGTACACCAATACTCAAGTACACAAATTTAATTAGATCATTAGGCAATGTGGTTGCATATACCTTCTGCTTGTTAGACATTACTATCCATGGGGATGTGTTGATAATACCAAGATCCCTCTTTAGCCTCTCAAGAAACCAAACCAGTTAGGCCTGTCCTCCACTTCCACAACACCTATTGCTATGGGGAAGATGCAATTATTTGGATCTATTCCTACTGCAACTAGCAACTGCCCTATGTCTCTAGTTTTAATATGGCAGCCATCTATGAAGATCATAGGCCTACAACCTTGAAGGAAGCCTCTCTTGCATGCATCAAGGCACATGTAGGCTTCGTTGAACCTAGCTTCATTATCTAGTGCAAGGAAAAAAAATGAGCTACTAGGATTACTTCTCCTTATCTCATTTCCATAATCCCACAAAAGCTTGTACTGCCCTTCTTCATTTCCATGAATTATTTTCATAGCCAGCCTTCTTGCCCTCTGAAGCTTGGACCTAGTTGGTGTCATGTGCCATTCCTTTTGAACAACCCTTGAGAAATTTCTAAGATTCATATCATGATCAGCCCTGAAACTCTCTAGGTACTTTATGGCTAGAAAAGGTGTTGTGAAAGCCTTGATTTTTCATTTTTTTTTTCAGCAACTATGTTCTTCTACATATTTCTTGACCATGAAACATTTGGTCCTGATGTCATAAGAAGCCCACAAATACCTACAATCATCATCACAGACTGCTTTGACTCTCTTCCTGTCATTCACTGGTAACTTGACATCAACTATGTTCTTGCAGCTATACTCCTTAATTGCTTTCCTAAGCAACTCAACATTTTCAAACACTTGTCCAACATGAAATTTTGGAAAAGTCAAATCCCCCTTTCTAAAAGCTCTAAATTTGGTTTGTGTTTCATCATCTGAATCAGGTGCCCAAAGATCTTCACCTTCAGATTCATAATCATCCATGTTTTCTCCCTTTCCCTCCCCTACAACTCCTTTATCTTTTGCAATAGTTGTTGTTTTCTGCTTCACCTTCTCCTTCCTCTGAACGGGTTCATCCTCATCCGCATTGTCAGCATAAAGGTCATCATCTCCATCACTGATTTCAAAGTCACTATCTACCATGTCACCAGGATCAAAGTCACTATCATTTGAGTCGCTATCTGTTCCTACATTGCCTTCAAAACATCTCTTCTTTGCTCTGGTACTCCTCAATTGATGTGCTTCTGCATCTTCCTCTGCTTCTCTTTCTTGCTCTACTTGCTCTGCATATTCATGTGGATTTGCTTCTCCTTCTTTCCCTACATGCTCTGCATCTTCGTATTGCTCTACATCTTCATCTTGCCCTGCTTGTCCTTGTTGCTCTGCATTATCCTCTGCTCCTTCACCAAATGTGCATTGCCTTCTTACAAACATGAATGGATTTCCATCTTCTTCCCTGTCTAGCACCTTATTTGGATACACAACCTGAATTGGTATAGGGCAGTCTTGTTCTGAATTTCCAGGCTTGCTACTCTGAGGATTAGTACCATCTTTTGCAGGGCTAAACACTGGTGGAAGTTGAGCCCTTAGAAATTGGACCACATGATCATCAACAACCTTCTTAGTAATCAAGGTGTCATCATGATCAAGATAAATACTAAAGAAATGATGCCCAATAGATAGAAATTTCATCATTTGATCAGTATCTTCCTCAGAACTGATAAGTCTCAAAGAATTCCTAGTAATGTCAAGTATTGGGATTTGATAATATGCCTTCAACCTGCCTGCCATCTCCCAGCCAATCTCTTCTACTAGATGTTCCACCATTTTTGGAGACATCCAAACTGTCATACCAAACTTGATGTCCATCAACATAAGCCCTATCGCTTCCTTCACCCATGAAAAAACCACCATGATGAAACTGTACTGACAACTTCTCACTTCTTGCTCCTGCAACAGCAAAGCATAATTCATCACATCAAAATTGACCAAAAAAATGACCTTTTTGAACAGGACAGAGCTCCAAACTAGAAACCCCCAGTTTTCTCCATAAACTAGAGCTCCAAACCTAAGCCTATCCCAACAAAGGTGCACATACGGGTACATAAAAACAACATTTCATGTGGAATCGATGAAAATTTGACCCGTTCGACAAGAACCTAAAACCCTATCAGAAACCCCTAATTGGGTTTGGAAAACCCTAAATCTAAATCTCCATACACGCGAGAAATACTACAACATATCATAGGCGAACACAATGCCATCCCAATCAAACAAGAATGGAAGAGAAAGAAGAAGATTTACGGCAGGAATCGGAACTTACGGTAAATGGGGGCAGGGGCACCGTTAGGGCGACGAACAGGAGACATGGCAGTGCCTCCTCTTCACCACCGCGAGAAGAAACTCCTCCGCACCTGCTGCTCGGACCACGGCGTCGGAGCACGGAGACGACCACACTGCACCATGCCACCGATCGCTTCCGTCACCTTCTCCGTAGGTTTGATCGGCTCGAATGGGGGAGGTGGAGAGAAAAGGGAGGTGGAGAGTTGGAGAGGGGGAGAGACGTGGAAGGGCTTCGGGTATATTTCCGGCAACATGGGGGGTTGCTGCAAATATGCCATCGGGTCGCTCCGGACAATCAACAGGTGGTCAACATGCAGTGTACGAGCGGGATACGGCGGCGCGCAGTGACCGTATTTTCACTGTTCATCGCACACAGTGACCGTATTGCGTGAGTTCATGTGTACAGTGACCAAAGTGACCGTGCGACGCAAGTTGAGGTACCGCTGATGAATTTTACTCTCTTTTTTCTTTCCTAGGCAGAGGTTGGTAAACAGATTTGGAAGTGGCTGTGATGAAGTTTCATGGCGCAGGAACGATGTCTTTGTCAGAGGAGAAGAGTGACGTTAGTTCTTCAATGATGTTGCAACAAGGTGTAGGAGAGAGGGAGAGAAGGTCGAGTGGCCAGGATAGGATGAGAGAGAGGCAATAGAGCAAATTTTGCTTACTCTAGCTTGCAACTCGATGGGCAGGGGCTGGTACAGAAGCAGACAGAAAAACATGAGACGATATATTTTTGGCAACAAATATTCACGCGATTGAATGACTCTACGAGGTTGAAGATGTAAAATGTACCCAAGCCCATGTTGGTGATGCATCTCGTCCATCTGTTGGCCATCCGGCGGCCCACAGTCTACTGGTGCATCCGGTGCACCAGTTGACCCGTTACACAGGATACGTTTAGTAAAAAAATGAGAATAGAAGATCAGAAAAAAAAGAGAAAGAATTGGGAGTTTGCGCCTACATAACAGGTAGCTTGCTTACCAAGCCGTCCTGGCAAGTTCCTACAGTTCTCTTATTACTCTTGACTTGACTTATTAATAAGAAAACTACTCACCAACAAAATGAAAGACGATCTAGAATCTACCCAAGAAGATAGAGAGTCCCACATACGAGAAAAGGTCACAAATGGAGTTGAACCAAGTAACATTGCAAAGGCATAATGTTAGTAGGGTCGGGATATCCCCGCCCTACGAACCAGACGTGAAGGTCTCCCCTCATCCGGCTCCCCACAGGGGAATCCCCTAATATCACTCTCTCCCACAATCACACCAAAACAAAAGCTCAACAGCAAACAACGCTAGCTTCTTCATTAGGTTAAACAAAGCAACAAAGCCATCAATCAAAACCAAACAAAAGCGCCGCTCCCAAAGGTAAATTTGTTGTTATTACTTGTAATAAAGTTAGGCGCATCATCTCTCCGACCAACCATATCATCATCATGAAAACTGAAACACCGTGTTTGTGTCGAATGGCACAACAAAAGGAATTTCCGCCCTCGTCAATTTATGCACGCACCCTCTATGTGTTGTGCTGACTCGCGACCACCAGGTGAGGTGGCTTCGGGGGGCTCTTCGCTGACGGGGTCACGCCGGCTTTTTTTGTCAACAGACTCATGGAATGCTCAGTATCTTCTTCAGCCTCATCACAAGTTTCCAGTCATCCATCGTCAAGTCATCCTGCAGTCATGATAGTCAACAAAATATCACTAACTGGTGGTGCTGGCCTGGGAGAACCACGAGAGTACATGGGCAGACAACGGAGTGAACCAATCAATGCACATGGAAACAAACAAGAAAGAAACGCTTGACTTTCCCTGTAGTTCTCCTTAAGAAGGTCGATGGACCGCCTTGTGATGTGGCTGACCAGCACGTCCTCCATCTCAAAGTGCCTGTCGAAGCTCTTCTGCTGCTCATCAGAGTTGCTCCCAATGATCTGCTCACCACCTAGGAAACAACAACATATGGCAGACAAAACCTGGATATAAATCCAGCAAGCATGGCCAGAACTGAGTAACAAAGTGTAATACCGACCTTTATTGCCACCTTTTGCCCTTTTGTGGCTGTATCAACTTGCTTCTGATTAATTTCAATGGAGGCAATCTTCCCAATATCGATAAATTGTTTCGAGGGTATGCACAGAGGCGTTCCCACCTACATGATAGGGGAAAATGAGAAATGGAATACATATCTTGACAAAGACCACTCCATGATAATATTCAAGTGTTTCGGACATTAAATTCTACATATATGATAGTTTCCACCTTTTTTTAGCTAAGTTTCCACTTTCTAAGATTATGAGGTATTTGTTCTCAAATACTGAGTATATTCTAGAAAAATAGCTGAGAAGGAGATCAAAGACCATAAATACCATGATGTATGAGAAAACATAACACAGGGGAAAACATAACATTCATGTCTATAGACACATATGAAAGTTTCTAATTTCTAGATTGTGAGCCTACTGTCATTTGTTTAGGCCAAATAAGAGCTACTGGGTATTCCAGAATGATAACTTCTCAGCTAACCAATCCAGTAAAAAAGGGTTGAGAAAATATAAATTTTCACTGATCAGACAAAATACCTTGGCTATTCCTTCAATGATATCGAAACCCAAAACAATTGGATCCTTCTTGTTGAAGAAACAGTTCGGCATGATCTTAAGAACACAGGGGAAAACAGCTTCTTCGGCACTGCCCTTCTTCTTCTCTTCCCTTATGTTCTTAAGGTATGCTGTGAATTGGTCAAAAAGGTGGTATATTATATCTGCCACAAAGATCTTCACGCCAGACTCTTCTGCAAGATCACGGGCATCAGGCATCACTTTGACATCAAACGCAAAGATAGTTGCATATTCCTTCTTCCTCTCAAGCATAACACTGGCCTTCATAACATCTTTCTTGTACACTAGGCCCATTACTTTTCAAATGGCGTCGAGCTCGTGCAGCAGGACTTGGTAGAACTGGCCTTCACTCACACCATCCCTGTGGAAGGCAGACACCTTTAGCCCCAACTCTTCTGTAAACACCATAGCAAATACAGAATGCGTGTGCATTTTTGCAAGGGAGCATACCGAAAGAATAGTATCCTCTGAGGCTTTTCTCCAGTTGATCTTTTGAAGGATATAAGAAGCTCCGTGCAAATACATGCCACGAAATGCATTAATACTTGCAGATGGTGTTTATCACCCAGGAAGAATTCAGTAATGAGCAGAAAGAAGGAAAAGGGAGGAAGACTATAGGTGGTGATTGACCTGATCATGCCACCATGGATGGTTCCTCTCTGAGGATCATGGGTGACATTGTACAGATCCTCTATCAGTTCCTGCATGTGAGCCTGAGCAGACACTAGGCCAGCATACTTGGTCACCTCAGGCCAATCTTGGGAGGCCACAACCTGCAGGGAAAATAGTTGCAGCTCAATGATTTTTTAGAAAACAAGAACAGTCAATCACTAAACATATGAATGAGATTGTTCAACTTACTACAACAATGGAAGGGCTGCTGTCTTCACCAGGATGGGGGTGGGTGACATCGGCGCCGAATATGATCGTCGGCCTGTCAGTGACCAGAGGCATGCACCTTGACACTGCATCAGTCGGCACAGTGTTCCTTCCCCCAACCTTTGGGAACAAAAGGTTGTGTTAGATTCAACAACTGAAGAAATGCACAAAACACAACTTGGACACCGACCTTGACATTTATCTTCAGAGAAAGGTTTGTGAGGATCTGCTTGTTCATCTTGAACACTTGCTTCGTCAGAAAGCACTTGGAGATCAGCCCGAGGTCGATCTCGCAGACACGCTTCAGGTCACCTGATACCAGCACAGCATACATGAGCATTAATTCTGCTTGAACCTCTAGTCTGGTAGTGCAAAAATGAATGTAACTGGAAGTTTTTACGTACCATAGAGTGAGCCATTGTTGTCAGGAAGTATCCTGATGAGCAGTTCGAGCTCCCTGTGATGCGGACCGAGTATGGCCGTGGCATCGTGGAACCGAGCTTTCAGAGCTCGCTCCACTTGATCCAAACACAGAAGCGGTCTGTAGACATAAGATAGCGAATGCACTGCAGGTCGTCTGGGGTGAAGCGTATCTCATCATGCAGGATGTGGTAATGGGTTGGTCTTGTAGTCCCCTGAGGTGTACAGTAACAGGATTAGTTAGGTCTATCAACTACAGTACAAAATAAATGGTTCCCTATCAAAATTCATAAACACAACATTACAACTGAAGTGACCTAAACAAAGCAATAGGCAACAAGAATCAACAAACTTGCCAGTCAGCCACACACAGATACTTGGAAGAACTAATAGTCTACAAACTTATCCAATCTCCTAGAAGTGTAATGGCGCTGGGTCAAAAAGAAGTGTAATGGCCTGAACAGGTCAGAATGAAATCATATTGTGACATACAGCTTCAACTTGTACACATATGATCATACGATATTAACAATGTTATGGTAATAAGATGGAAGGTAGCCATGGAATTTAGGGACATTTTTGGGACCCACTTGTCACTAGTAGAAAAAGGGTCAAATGTGAGACACATTAGTCCCGGTTTGTAACAGAACCGACACTAATGTGTCCATTAGTGCCGGTTCCAACGGCTAGCCGGGAGGAGCTCTTTAGTACCGGTTCGTGGCAAACCTTTAGCACCGGTTCGTGCCACGAACCGGTACTAATGAGAGTGGTCGCAGGATGTTGTCAGAGTGGGGCCCTTCCAGCACCTTTAGTACCGGTTCGTGGCACGAACCGATACTAAAGGTCGTCCTATATAAACCCTTTGTCCACCCGCACTCTGTTCTTCCCCCTTTCCCCTCTCCCTCTCCTCTGTTCTTCCCTTCTTCCTCTCGAGTTCATCACAAAATTTGCCCCAAATTTGTCAAGATTTGCAGGCCCTCATCCATTCAAATGATCACCAAGGTTAGCAACTTTGTCCTTTCATCTCTCATTGCTAGATTAGCTCTTGCATTGGTTTATATAGTGATTAATTGTGGGTTTTAGTAATTTGGGAGGAATTATATGTGGTAGTATTTGATTTATATGCAATTTGAGGTCAAAATAACACTTAGTTTGCATATGTAGGTGTGGTTTATTTAGTGCCTTCTAAATCTCCTTCGTAACCACCGTCGATCACCTCCACCGTCCCGTCGCCGGCACCACCTTGTGGTGAGCCTCTTGTTCATGAAATTTTATATAAAAAATTGATGTTTGTGTGATTTGGATATATAGTTACTCGTATAATAATTATCTTACCCGCACGTTGTTTGTTATACATAGTGCCATGGTTTTGATATCCGTCCCCGTCGGCCCTCGTCCTTGTTATCATTCGGATGTGGTATATTCTCTTTTAAAACTATTTGTTGCATTTCGTGTTTATGACAAATTATGCCCATCAAGTTGACATAGATATTTTTATCTAGGAGGTATGTGAACCGGAAATTCCAACCGACCCTATTGTCGAGAGGTTAAATTTAGTTGAAAGAGAAAACGAGTACTTGAAAGAAAAATTGAAAAGAATTGAGGGGGAGAAGATGGAATTGGAGTTGCATGTTGCTGATGTCGTCGATGATCACAAGATCAAGATGGAGAAAATGCGCTTGAAGATTAGAAAGATTAGAAAATATGTCATCGATAGTGAGGCTTGGTATCATTATGCTGTTGGATCAATTGTTACCTTAGTTACGATCTTGATCGCATTTGTTGTTGCATTTAAATGTTTTAGCTAGAGAGTTATTTGTTTGTTGCATTTAAGTGTTGTATGAACTTTATGTATGAACTTGTATTAATTTGGTCTATTCGGTGTTGTGTAATGAAGATGAGCCGGCAATGGATGTACGATGACCGATGCTCTCCCCAGTTTGTTGAGGGCGTGCATACTTTTCTGCTTGTGGCTGAGGCAAACAAGCGGGCGGATGGTTTTATGCCTTGTCCATGTGCTGGCTGTAAGAATGGTCGCAATTACTCCACGTCAAGAACCATTCATGTCCACCTGTTTGAGTCCGGTTTCATGCCCCACTATAATGTTTGGACCAAGCAGGGAGAAAGAGGGGTTATGATGGAAGACAATGAAGAAGAAGAGGACGACGACAGCTATACTGGCCATGGGTTCCCTGAATACGATGATACAACAATGGGGGAAGAAGCTGAGCCGGTAATGCGAGAAGAAGCTGAGCCGGCAATGCGGGAAGAAGCTGAAGAAGAGGCATTAGATGAGCCCGTTGATGATCTAGGTCGGGCCATTGCTGATGCAAAGAGAAACTGCACAAGTGATTTGGAGAAGAACAAGTTGCAGCGCATGTTAGAGGATCACAAAAAATTGTTGTACCCGAATTGCGTAGGTGACAAGAAAAAGCTGGGAACCACACTGGAATTGCTGCAATGGAAGGCAGAGAATGGTGTATCTGACAAGGGATTTGGAAAGTTGCTGGTAATGATAAAGGATATGCTTCCAAAGGACAATGAATTGCCCGAGAGTACGTACGAAGCAAAGAAGGTTGTCTGCCCTCTAGGGTTAGAGGTGCAGAAGATACATGCATGCCCTAATGATTGCATCCTCTACCGCGGTGAGTACGAGGATTTGAACGCTTGCCTGGTATGTGGTGCATTGCGCTATAAGATCAGCCGCGATGAGCATGGTGATGTCGAGGGCGAGCGCCCCAGGAAGAAGATTCCTGCCAAGGTGATGTGGTATTCTCCTATAATACCACGGTTGAAACGTTTGTTCCAAAACAAAGAGCATGCCAAGGCGATGCGATGGCATAGAGAAGACCGTAAGAAAGACGGAAATTTGAGAGTACCCGCTGACGGGTCGCAGTGGAGAAAAATCGAAAGAAAGTACGGGAAGGAGTTTGCAGATGACGCAAGGAGCGTATGGTTTGGTCTAAGCACAGATGGCATTAATCCTTTTGGGGAGCAGAGCAGCAACCATAGCA